AACCCCATAGACGGCAGCCCACCAGGCTCCTCTGTCCACAGCATTCTCTAGGCAAGAACACTGGAGTGGGTTGCCATTTCCTTCTCCGTGATTAGTTAGAGCAAACTCCAGGAGACAGTCAAGGACAGGGAAGCCTGGCATATTGCAGTCCATGGGGTCACAAAGAGTTAGACACAACTGAGTGACTGAACAACAAGAAGAATAGGAGAGCAGTGAGATGTAGGTCTGGGTACACTTCATGCTTAGGATACGAAAATAGGACATATATTCTCCTCTCAAGGAACTCACAGGCTGGTGGGAAAGTTAAACCCAGAAACACATATTAATGAATGCTTTTCTAGCTCTACTAGAGTGATGCTCAAAGACTGAGAAACCAACCATGAATGGAAGAGAAGGAAGACTTTGGAGAGGAAATGACATTTAAGCAGAAGTAAAGTGCAAGCGTGTTAGGCAGACAAAGCAGGGAAAGTGTGTATCTGGCAAAAGAACAAAGGTCCAGAGATGAAATGGTAGAGCGTACACTCCATGAACCCTGAAAGCCTCGACGAAGCTGGAGCGCAGGGTAAGTGGTGGGACATTTAGGTGAAGAGCAGACAGAGATCACTCTAAATAGTGTTAAGAGACCAGTCTCATACATTTAGGCTTTTACCTACAGAGGTGTGGGAAGCCAGTAGTGGACATCATGCAGAAGAATGACCTACAGACAAGGGCCTCCACGACAGCAGGGAGGAGGAGAGAGGGGAGAGCTGAGCAGATGGACATAGCGGTATATAGCTCCTCTGTTTATTCACATTCTGTTCAGGAAAGACTGAATGAAGGCAGGCAGGGGCTTATAACTGTTCTGTGTTCATGACTCAGTCCATCCCAGCTTCAAAATTATTAAAGTTGTGAGTAGGGTGGAGATCTGGTGCAGGAAGGGAAAATGAAATGGGAGCTAAGAAAGAATAAGGATGAAAAGGCAATTAAGAAAAATCAGGAGTGAAAGGCAGCGAGATACCAGAGACCCACAGTTCGCTGATATAAGGACACGGGTTCAGTGAGTCTGTGGGGCTCTTGGCCTCTCCCTCATGAGCCAAGATGCCTCCATGCTTCATTATGATGTGTGTCCTCACACATATCATTCAAAAGCTGGAGGTGAGGAAAGAAGTAGGGGGCAGGTTCTTTATCCTCCTTCATCTCTTATCTCTACTCATGGAGAAGAAACCTTCTCCAGAAGCTACTTGGCTAACACATTTTTTGTTGTAATTTTCAATCCTGGATCAGATACACATGTCAGGAAGCCTGGCTTCTCAAATGTTCTAGGAAAGTGAACACTTATGTTGGGGGACAAGCAAGAAGGAGGTGTTTGGGAATGGCTTTGGGTAGACCCCCAAGAACAAAGCCATCTTCTTATAAAGCACCTGGAATAGGGAATGAATATGATGGACCAGAGGTAAAATGTGAGGAATGTAAATGAAAGGAGTAAGAATTTATTCTCTGAAGAAGTACCGTCCCATCACTCTCCCTATCCTACCACAAAATTTGAGCATCTAAGACAAAGACAGGAAAGCAAGGTTTTTCTTTGCAGAAACAGTAACTCCAGAAAAATAGACCTCCATGTTTTGACATTCATGTGTCCCCCAGTAAATAGCTGATATCCACCTGAACCTCTAAGATAAAGTCTAAAAGTTTTTATATGAAAGTGAAAGTGTTAGTCACTCAGTTGTAACTGAACTGAACTGAACTGAACTGTAGCTCCCTTGCTAAGACTAGGGAGATGGGCACTCTCGGTCTCCCTCCTGATGTCTATGTCAGAAACTTTCTTTGTCCCTTTTCATACTTTAATAGAACTCTGCTACACAAAAGCTCTTGAGTGACCAAACCTGGTCCCTGGTCCCAAAGCTAAATCTTCTTTGAAGATCATGAATCCGACACCATTCACCGTAAACTATCAACAGCAAGGAGATCAAACCAGTCAATACTAAAGGAAATCAACCCTGAATGTTCATTGGAGGGATTGATGTTGAAGCTGGAGCTCCAATGCTTTGGCCACCTGATAGGAAGAACTGACTCGTTGGAAAAGACCTTGATGCTGGAAAAGATTGAGGACAAGAAGAGAAGAGGGCAAGAGAGGATGACATGATTGGATGGCATCTTTGACTCAGTGGACATGCTGCTGCTGCTGCTGCTGCTGCTAAGTCGCCTAAATCACGTCTGACTCTGTGCAACCCCATAGACGGCAGCCCACCAGGCTCCTCTGTCCACAGCATTCTCTAGGCAAGAACACTGGAGTGGGTTGCCATTTCCTTCTCCAATGCATGCATGCATGCTAAGTTGCTTCTTCGTGTCCGACTCTGTGCGACCCTATAGACAGCAGCCCACCAGGGTCCTCTGTCCACAGCATTCTCTAGGCAAGAACACTGGAGTGGGTTGCCATTTCCTTCTCCGTGATTAGTTAGAGCAAACTCCAGGAGATAGTCAAGGACAGGGAAGCCTGGCATATTGCAGTCCATGGGGTCACAAAGAGTTAGGCACAACTGAGTGACTGAACAACAAGAATAGGAGAGCAGTGAGATGTAGGTCTGGGTACACTTCATGCTTAGGATACAAAAATAGGACATATATTTTGCTCTCAAGGAACTCACAGGCTGGTGGGAAAGTTAAACCCAGAAACACATATTAATGAATGCTTTTCTAGCTCTACTAGAGCGATGCTCAAAAGTTAAAAGACTGAGAAACCAACCATGACTGGAAGAGAAGGAAGAATTTGGAGAGGAAATGACATTTAAGCAGAAGTAAAGTGCAAGCGTGTTAGGCAGACAAAGCAGGGAAAGTGTGTATCTGGCAAAAGAACAAAGGTCCAGAGATGAAATGGTAGAGCGTACACTCCATGAACCCTGAAAGCCTCGACGAAGCTGGAGCGCAGGGTAAGTGGTGGGACATTTAGGTGAAGAGCAGACAGAGATCACTCTAAATAGTGTTAAGAGACCAGTCTCATACATTTAGGCTTTTACCTACAGAGGTGTGGGAAGTCAGTAGAGGACATCATGCAGAAGAATGACCTACAGACAAGGGCCTCCACGACAGCAGGGAGGAGGAGAGAGGGGAGAGCTGAGCAGATGGACATAGCGGTATATAGCTCCTCTGTTTATTCACATTCTGTTCAGGAAAGACTGAATGAAGGCAGGCAGGGGCTTATAACTGTTCTGTGTTCATGACTCAGTCCATCCCAGCTTCAAAATTATTAAAGATGTGAGTAGGGTGGAGATCTGGTGCAGGAAGGGAAAATGAAATGGGAGCTAAGAAAGAATAAGGATGAAAAGGCAATTAAGAAAAATCAGGAGTGAAAGGCAGCGAGATACCAGAGACCCACAGTTCGCTGATATAAGGACACGGGTTCAGTGAGTCTGTGGGGCTCTTGGCCTCTCCCTCATGAGCCAAGATGCCTCCATGCTTCATTATGATGTGTGTCCTCACACATATCATTCAAAAGCTGGAGGTGAGGAAAGAAGTAGGGAGCAGGTTCTTTATCCTCCTTCATCTCTTATCTCTACTCATGGAGAAGAAACCTTCTCCAGAAGCTACTTGGCTAACACATTTTTTGTTGTAATTTTCAATCCTGGATCAGATACACATGTCAGGAAGCCTGGCTTCTCAAATGTTCTAGGAAAGTGAACACTTATGTTGGGGGACAAGCAAGAAGGAGGTGTTTGGGAATGGCTTTGGGTAGACCCCCAAGAACAAAGCCATCTTCTTATAAAGCACCTGGAATAGGGAATGAATATGATGGACCAGAGGTAAAATGTGAGGAATGTAAATGAAAGGAGTAAGAATTTATTCTCTGAAGAAGTACCGTCCCATCACTCTCCCTATCCTACCACAAAATTTGAGCATCTAAGACAAAGACAGGAAAGCAAGGTTTTTCTTTGCAGAAACAGTAACTCCAGAAAAATAGACCTCCATGTTTTGACATTCGTGTGTCCCCCAGTAAATAGCTGATATCCACCTGAACCTCTAAGATAAAGTCTAAAAGTTTTTATATGAAAGTGAAAGTGTTAGTCACTCAGTTGTGTCCAACTCCTTGCAAACCCATGGACTGTAGTCCACCTGGCTTTTCTGTCCAAGGAATTCTCTAGGCAAGAATACTGAAGCTACGTTGCATTTCATTCTCCATGAGAATCTTCCAAACTCAGGGATCAAGCCTGGGTCCCTCTCATTGCAGGCAAGTTCTTCACTGTGTGAGCCACCAGAGAAATGCTTTCATTTAGAGATGTACAAATTTGTATTTTACTGCCTTGCCAAGGATCAATAAGAGATTAAGGAAGGCCACTGAGACAAAAGGGAAAAACCAAATAAATTGTAAAATGAATGAAAAGTAAGCAGAAATGACATAGGAAACATAAGAAAAGTTTATATAAGCAGTCCATGGGGTCACAGGAGTTGGACACGACTTCGTGATTGAATAGCAACAATAGTTCAACAACAACAACAAGGCAAAAACCCAACTTTCAAAATAGGCTATGGGATTGAATATACATTTCTCTAAAGAAAGTATTTAAATTCCCTACAATAAATAATGCTCAACATGAAATGATGTTCAGTATCACCAGTAATTAAGGAAATGAAAATAAAAAACATGCAATACTACTTCATACCTGATAAGATAGTAGTAGTAGTTGTAGTGATAGCAGTAATAAATAACAAGTGTGAGAATGTGAAAAAATTAGAACCCTCATAAGTTCCGATCGGAATGCTGCTGTGAAACACACTTTCGCAGTTCTTCAAAAAGTTACACACAGAATTAACCACATGATCCAGCAATTCCACTCGTTGGTATATACTCAAAGGTTCTGAAAATAGGTACTCAAACAAATATTTGTTAACAAATATTAGCAGTAGCCCTTATACTAGAAAAGACATGGAAACAACCAAAATGTCATTCAACAGATAAGTGGATAAACAAAATGTACTGTATCCAGACAGTGGAGTAGTATTCAGTCATAAAGAAGAATGGACCTTTTTCGCAACGGGTTTGCCGCCAGGATACAGGTGTCGTGAAAACCACCGTTAAACCTAAGCCAAAATGGGAAAAGAGAAGACCCACATCAACATCGTCGTCATTGGGCACGTAGATTCAGGGAAGTCTACCACGACTGGCCATCTGATCTACAAATGTGGCGGGATCGACAAGAGAACAATTGAGAAGTTCGAGAAGGAGGCTGCCGAGATGGGAAAGGGCTCCTTCAAATATGCCTGGGTCTTGGACAAACTGAAAGCTGAACGTGAGCGTGGTATCACCATTGATATCTCCCTGTGGAAATTTGAGACCAGCAAGTACTATGTTACCATTATTGATGCCCCGGGACACAGAGACTTCATCAAAAACATGATTACAGGCACATCCCAGGCTGACTGTGCTGTCCTGATTGTTGCTGCTGGTGTTGGTGAATTTGAAGCCGGTATCTCCAAGAACGGGCAGACCCGCGAGCACGCCCTTCTGGCTTACACTCTGGGTGTGAAACAACTAATTGTTGGAGTTAACAAAATGGATTCCACTGAGCCACCCTATAGCCAGAAGAGATGCGAGGAAATTGTTAAGGAAGTCAGCACCTACATTAAGAAAATTGGCTACAACCCTGACACAGTAGCATTTGTGCCAATTTCTGGCTGGAATGGTGACAACATGCTGGNATTAGTTGGAGGCTAATTACTTTACAACATTGCAGTGGTTTTTGTCATACATTGAAATGAATTAGCCATGGATTTACATGTATTCCCCATCCCGGTCCCCCCTCCCACCTCCCTCTCCACCCTAAAATTAAATTTTTTTAATAGTTAAGATAGAACTTGGTAGCAGAATATCATTTTATCCTCTGGATAAGAAACAATTTTTAAAAATTAGATATCAATATGAGCTAACTGTGCTTCCCCAGTGGCTCAGCATGTAAAGAATCTACCTGCAATGCAGGAGGCATTGGAGATGAAGGTTCAGTACCTGGACTGGAAAGATCCCTTGGAGGAGGAAATGGCAATCCACTTCAGTATTCTTCCCTGAAAAGTTCCATGGACAGAGGAGCCTGGCAGGTTACAATCCAAGGGGTCGCAAAGAGTTGGGCAAGACTGAGAGACTAAACACACACATCAGCTAATACTAAAATAAAAGATTGATATACCTGATTACATGAAAAGTAACACCAAAAATAAAGAAGACAAACCACAAACTGGGAGAAGGCATTGTAATAAATATAGCTGGCAATAAATCAGCAACCAAATTACATAGAAACTCCTACACTATGTAGAAACAGTCAGAAGAAAAGCAAACAAAAAGCATTCATGTGAAATTGCATACAATAAAAAGTGTGGAAAGAAATGTTAGAGAAATACAAATTTCTCTACAGTGAAATATTTTTACCCACTTTAATTGGTACTTCCACTTCCAGATATATGACCCGAGCCCCTCAACAAAACAACAAGTAGAAGAATACTCAAAAGAGCACTGTTTGCAACAGCAAAAACTGGGAACAACCCCTCTAAGTTTATTTTCACAAAGGAATATTACACAGCAGAGCAAACTAATAAACTACAGACAAACAGAATAACATGTGTCACTTAGAGACATATGTGGAGTGGAAAAAAGCAAGTCCCAGAATATTATATACAATGTAATATTTGTATGAAGCTCAAAATAGCAAAACAAAACAATATGCTGATTATGTAAAAATGTGATGAGATTATTTTTATAAGCAATGGGATGATAAACACAAAATTCAAATAAGCGGTTTCACCTGGGGAGAAATCATGTGATGGGGAGGACCTATAGGCAGGTATAAGCTGTTGGTACCCTGTGGTTCTTGAATTGGGTATCATGTACATGAATATTCATATTATATTATATAACATTTTGAAATTACATGTCTTCCATGTAATCTTTTGCTTGTAATGATCATTATACTATACTAAAATGTACAGTGAAAAAGTGTGAATACTTATGATAATTTCCAGCCTGAAAATAACATATAATTCCATAGTTTGCTCAATTTTATCTCACAATTTTTATATACAGTTCTTATAATAAAACTGGGAAGCTTGGGATATTAAGATCAGTGAGTTTGTTGATAAGTAGTTATGAGCTCAAGAGAAGGCAGGTGTCTCATGCAAGGTCATCCATTTGGTAAGTGATGCGTTTGGGTCTCCAAATTAAAGCTTAAGACTCATCTGCTTCATATATGATAATATACAGGTTTCAATACTATTCTCTCAGGTCATCCCACCCTCACCTTCTCCCACAGAGTCCAAAAGGCTGTTCTGTACATCTGTGTCTCTTTTGCTGTCTCACATATAGGGTTATCATTACCATCTTTCTAAATTCCATATATATGTATTAGTATATTGTATTGGTGTTTTTCTTTCTGGCTTACTTCACTCTGTATAATAGGCTCCAGTTTCATCCACCTCATTAGAACTGACTCATATGCATTCTTTTTAATCACTGGGTAACATTCCATTGTGTATATGTACCACAGCTATCTTATCCATTTGTCTGCTGATGGACATCTAGGTTGCTTCCATGTCCTGGCCATTATAAACAGTGCTGTGATGAACAATGGGGTACACCTGTCTCCTTCAATTCTGGTTTCCTCAGTTTGCATGCTCAGCAGTGGTATTGCTGGGTCATATGGCAGTTCTATTTCCAGTCTTTTAAGGAATCTCCACACTGTTCTCCATGGTGGCTGTACTAGTTTGCATCCCCAGCAACAGCGTAAGAGGGTTCCCTTTTCTCCACACCCTATCCAGCATTTATTGTTTTGTAGAATTTTGGATAGCAGTCATTCTGACTGGCGTGAGATGGTACCTCATTGTGATTTTGATTTGCATTTCTCTGATAATGAGGGATGTTGAGCATCTTTTCATGTGTTTGTTAGCCATCTGTATGTCTTATTTGGAGAAAGGTCTGTTTAGTTTTTTGGCCCACTTTTTGATTGGGTCTTTTATTTTTCTGGAATTGAGCTGCAGG